AAGGGGCACTTGTGGCTGTACGATGCTGACTTCGGAGCCTAGTATCAACAATTCTCATGCTGACTAGGAATGCTTGCCTTTCCGTCCTGCTCCTGCTCATAGCGTCCAAAGCCAGGTAGCCGGCTCCAAATTGAAGCATCTTGGATGTTTAGCCTGGATTGCATCACGATGCGAAGCCTTTGAGAATGCTTCGTGATCCTCAGGGCGGTCTTTTGGGAACGACGCTCAAATTTAGTATCGCTCTCAAGGGCGTCTCGGAAGCACCAAGCCCCTTGATTTGGGCTCTCTCCAAAGAGAGAGCAAATGTTGTTTGTCTCTATTGAGGCCGCAATCCGAGTCAATGTTGCAGGACTCGCTAAGCGGTACCTTTCTGGCCGGCCGTGATATTCAAGTTCTGAGCAGCTTTGGTCTGCTCACAATTAGTCCATTGCAATTTGAAGCCACGCGCCTCAACACTGCACAAATGCTGTACAGTTTCCAGCATCATCCGTTACTTCGCTTTAAAATTAAATTGTAGACTCAGGCCAGCCCTGATCGCCAGCATAAGATCGAAGGTAGGCGATACAGCGTTGCTCAGAATGGGTCCTATATCGGCAGAATGTTTAAGACACCCTACGAATGCAATTCGACTTGAGATAGAAGGTTAGCGGTTCAAGCCGAAGTGTATACTTGGAGTCAACAGTTTGGTTATTGCACCGGGTCTTGGGCGGCCGATACGTGTGCTGTTTCTGAGAAGATCGTGCGTGCTCATTGGCCAGGTGTCTGACGCCGCATCACGGCATACTTGTGTTTCATGCATATCCATCTCGTCTCTTGTCTTCCTGTTTATCTTGCACAATCTAAGCCCTCATCGTCAAGATCGCGTTTTCCCTTTCGGTCTCTCCGTTCTAGTCAACGATTCTGCATCTCCGAGTCGTACGGCAAGGCACATCGGCTCTCTTTTGTGGTATTCGTTTGTTCGATCAAGCCGTGAAGAAGTTTGTTGCAACTGGTCACAGCTGGCCGTGACGATTGATGGTTTGTTGTTTGCTCAGGATCGTTTTGAAATTCGAAGCGTCCGATGCCGAAGTTTTACAATCTCAATAGATGGGTCTTCTCTTTCATCTTTCCAGCGCCGTGTCGACTGGCTCTGAGATGGGAGTTCTCCCGGTCTTGTCGTTAACGCAACTCCTGGTTCACAGTCCCCAATCGGTAGAGCCCTGCCCCTAGATCTTCCACACATTGCTGGAATTTGTGAGCTTAACTTTCTTAGATTTTCATTCTTGAGGCTCGTCTTGTGTTGTTTCTGCAAATCTACCGCAGTGAAATTGAGGCCTGGGCATCTTAGCGTAACTCTGAGAAGTCTGCAAAATACGTCTTCAAGAGCACCTTTACAAGCACTCTCGCGATGGGTTGCTCTTGAAGCTTCCATGGACAACGTGCGACCTTGTCGCCCGTGAAACTTCTGCTGTCCAAAAACTTACCATAGTCGCTTTCTTGATAGAGACTTTGGCCGCCAAAGCAACCCGGTATATGGCCGTGCTTCATTCTCTATTCAAGTAAACAATTGCTAGGCAAAGCCCGTTCAGTTCCGTTACAGCAGGACAATGTTGATAGCAGGGTGGAAATTGATGTTCGAAAAATGGCGGCTTTGTGGCCATGATGGTGTTTGGACTCGAGCATATTGCGGCTCGATCATCCACCTTAGACTTTGAAGCCCCGCCTTTTTGTGGATGGTGCTATTGTAGCCATTCTGCTCGGATCTGTAGACCTAGGTTTTGGAGGCGAGCAGGCTGTGACGTTCAAACTAAAGAACGGTGAGATTGTACGTGCCCACGACAAAGATTCCCCTCGACGCGGCTAGCGTGTGGCATTTGCGGTAAAAACGGGCGGCTTGACCTAGGCGTCACGGTGTGCTGGAGACCTGAAATTAGTTTTGTTTGGTCGCATACATCCTTGATAGGTGGTTTCGTATGTCGTCCTACAGCTGTTTGCGTCAAAGCGGCCATCTCGGCGTCGATCGAAAGTCGTCGGTCCCTGATCCTGGAGTCGCGAGTCCGGTTCCTGATCGTGAAAGCCTGTGGCAATGTTGACGTCAGCTTTCAAATTCCACCGGAAAGTATGATGTAAAGATGACGTCACAGAGCAGCAGGCACCGGATCAGGAACCGGACTCGCGAGTTCAAGATCGGGGACCGACGAATTTCGATCGACGCCGAGATGGCAAGTTTGACGCAAACAGCTGTATTCCTTGACATTCTCAGGCTGTCGAACGGGCTATTTGATTGCGGATGGCGGATTGCGGACTTCTGATTCTGCTTCTGCTTTGCTCGTGCCGCAAGTCAAGATATCAGCGACTTTTCGGATGTCGCTGGATATCTCAACTTGCGGCAATGGTGGGCTGTACCACGGGCAGTTTCTCAAGCGCTCAAGCTTAGTCAGATTTCGGACGCCGCGGTTCTCTGGACGGGCCTTTATGCGGCTCAAAAAAGCGAGCTTTAAAAATCGTTGCATATACCACCAGGCAGCTTGGTTGATGAGACAAAGTCAGGAACATTTATTCTATGCAAGCTTCCTTGCTTTGATGGGCCTTCTTGCAATCGGAGGCATGGTGCGGCTTGGGTCCACTGCAATTGTATTTGTTTGTCGACTGCTTTTGAGCATCAGAGTCAGAACCGCGTCTCGCAAGGGAATCATATATGAAATTGTTGTCTTAGACATATGCTTGCGAGCTAGGTTTGAGAAGACACTTTCACTCGTTTTGTGCTTTGAAGTCTACAGTGAGAGAATTTTGGAGTCTACAATTAGAGATCAAGACATGCTGAATTTGTCGCAGACCTTCACGTGCATAACGTGCCAGGGCAATCGACATCAGGGCCGGCCCGGCGATACTCGTACTCGTTGATCGCCCTTTTCCTCGTATCACCATCCGATGATTGACTCCAGCCGAGAGTAGGTTGTAATTGCATCTCGGTGGTTTCCGAACCTGCTTTAACAGCATGGGCTCTGACGGTTGCTTGCACGAATTTTGGGTGGGGCGAGCAAATGGCCGCTCACGCTTAGTGCGGTCTTCTGAAGCCGCATCAGGATGTGCTGCCCTGAAGTCGGTCTCAAACAACTCAAACTCTCTCACAGCCGCCCATAATGGCTGTGGTTACCTGTTCACTTTCGGAGCAATTCCGTACGCCGGTGGGTCAGCGGATGCAGGTTTCACCCTATCCTTTGCTTTTTGAAGTCCTTTTCGCAAGCGCTGCTTTCAGACTTGTCTGTCGACGACGTTACCTAGACCCTCGTTGCGTGCTGTTTTTCAATCGGCCTACAATAGAGGGTTCCCGCCGGAGCACGACTTTGTTGCTCACCGCTTTAGAGTTTACGGTGCGAAGTTTTTACTCTTGAACGTTTGAGTTGTCGACCGTGGGCGATCAGGGTTTTTGGGTTCGATCACCTCATTCCTTCCTGGTTTGTAGTGAGGTCGCTTACCGTGTAGCGCATGTCCGATTTGTATCATCATGCTCGATAAAGATTTCGTGTTGAGACGAGCTGTGGATGTTGATTCATGATAGTGACGAGGTTTTCAGGCTCAAACGGCTTTGACGAGTTAGGTACCGGGCAAGCTTTGCGCGCTCAACCTTATTCAACTTGGACGACAGCAGCTGACGCCGCATGAAACGTCAAGGATCACAGAATGTACCACACGTTTGTCTTTTGTCGCTAACACAAGGTTTTTCTGCCCTCACACGTTCTCAGCAGGGTTTTCTACCTTATTATGCACTCGCAGCAAAGTGTCAATGAGCTTGAGCCAATGAGCGATGCTCATTGGACTACACGTCGCGGAAAGGCTTTGATGACGTGCCAAAGGTCACCGCTGCTACCTGATTTCAGGATTTTACAAGAACGGATTACGAGACAAAGCTGATTCACTCAATTCCCATTGGAGCTACTTGAGAATGTGGTTGCAAGAACGCTCCCAGGTCCTTACGTGTATGACTTTTCTGGATTCTGATGTTGTGTCGGCCAGCTTTGGTTGGTTTGAAAAGTTGGATACAAGGTACTCATAGACGAAGCACGGGCTTAACCCTGGATTCGTTCGGCCTTTTTCTCCCTTCCAGTCAGGTTTGCCAGTGCAATGCTTACGCTTTGACACTTTTCACATCAGGGCAAGTTGACGAGGAGTAGCTTTGGGAGACGCCTGTTGGAAGCCACTTTGGTTGAGCCCCGAGTGGAACTTTGATTGACTTGCAGCATTTTAAGGCTTAGGAGCAATCAGAACTAAGCCGATTTTCATAGACTGACAAATCTTTTGACCGCTTCTTTGTGCTCCTCTCGATTCTCCCTTATGCCGCATGTGTGCAGCATCGCTAAACACTACACGTCAGTAGACACAACCGGTGTCTATAAAAAGCAGAAAACCGACCGAGTTCGCGACTGAATTCTGCAATCTGTGCATCAAGAGCACTTCGGTAGAACCTGTCAAACGTGCTGCTAAAAGGATTGTTGTCAGACAGAGTACCGACAAATCCTTTGGGCGACATAGGCTTTGTTTGTACCTGGGCGTTTGTCTCGAGCTGGGGCAATGCTTGGTACTTTTTTGTTGTTATTCATATATCCAAGTCATTGGCACCGTACTCTCGTGAGGCCTCTTCTTCGTTTCGACGTCTTCACAATGAAGCGTCAATGCACACTTGGTTGTTTGTGGTTCCCTCTATTCGAGCAACGATGCTGAAAAAAGTCAAGCAAATGCTCCTCGAGAACCAGTTCTGGCCGGCCGCGACGATCAAAACTTTTGAGCGCGTGTACTGACTCAGAAGGGTCCGGTGGAAAAAAAACGTCTGATGCCGAACGTTCTTAGAAGTGATGTTCACCTGATCAAATTTTCGGCTTCTCTGTCAACCGGTTCTAGAGTCGGAACACTGACCTAACCGTTTCCCGTTTGATTCTAGCACTTGGTTCCTTGCGAAACCTTCTCCGCTTTTCCGAAGCTTCGCACTTCTGCATCTGAGTTGATCGTGTGCGAGCTCAACCATGGTTTTGCTACGACGTTGGACGACGGTTGTCCTCCTCCCTGTGAGTATCTCCGCGACTAACACCGCTGATCCTGGTGGCTTGGCTCCATTCCAGCCACTTGCTACAGCGTGTTTTTGCCACCTTTCCATATGCAATGAGTTGCAAACGAACACAACGAATCACTCTTTCAGGTTTATCCGAGATCTCTATGACTCGGATCGCTAGGCGAGCCGACCGCTTCTGCGTTCTTTGCAATACGCAAAGTGGCGGTGAAGAGAGAGTGTGTGGGCTCAGAACTTGTCCATTTATACACTTGAGGATTGCTCCGATGCCGTACCGCTGCCCCTCTCAAAGGGGCATCAATAGGCTTTTTGGCCTCGCTATGCTCTGACAAGCACAAGCTTTGATGGGATTACACCGTCCCCTCTTTTCGGCTTTGCGACACTCTCGCTTCATCCAGGTCTTGAGTTTTGATAACGCGGGTGGCTGTCCATCCGTGAAGTAAGCTTTTCAAGGCTTTTACCCAGTAGAAACTTCATCTCAACTGGTGGTTTGACATCTCAGGTGTCGCCGAAAGCTTGTGGGCACACGAAGGGTCGACGTGTGGTGTCTCGAGAAGAAGCGGTGCTTCGGATCCGGGCTGCCGCCGACGCCCGGGACGAGGGCGACCAGGACATAGTCATCGTGGCCCGGACGGACGCTCGGCAAGCAGCCAACCTGGCGGAAGCCATATGGCGAGCGAAAGCGGTGAGGAATATCGTTTTGCTAAGTCGGCCTCTTACCTGCCACTGATTCCGTTCGAGCATGTCCGCCGATATAGCAGGATTGGGCTGGAACGGGGGACTCAATGTCGGGTTGGTCTACTCTTAGTATAGCCGTCTTGAGAGTGTACTTTTCAAAGACTCAGTCAGCTCAAAGTTCCCTGAACGTTGGCAATCGACAAGGCTCTGCATGGAGAATAAATCCAGAGCTTGTAACGTCGAACAGCGCTTCGAGTCGTGCTATGGCTTGCGGTTGTTGAGCTTTGCAATTCTTGCCAGACAGCCGTGGGATTGCGCTTACGATCAGAAGCTTGAAGCAGAATCTGTTACAATTGCGGCACACAAACTGTTCTTCTGTTCATGATTCTTCTCAAGCAACAACACCATAACTGAATCGATCTTTGCTGCAGTTTGTGGACCAAGGTGCTGACGTGGTCTTCATCGACGCGCTCGCCTCGAAGGCGGAGATGCGCGAGTTCTGCCAGGCGCTGCCGGACATCCCAAAAATGGTAAGGTTACCTCAACTGCCAGTGTTCCGAATGATTTCTGCAAAGCCCAGTCCTTGAGATTTAGTGAAGACCGTGACGTGCACAAATGCGTCAGAATCCTTGTCCGAGGGAACCAGAAGACCTGCGCGTCAGTCGCTAGCTATCTCTTAAGTAGCGCATGTGCGGCTACTATCAAGCACGCAATGGATCTTCAGAAGACGCCGCAAGCGCACGTCCCGGACCCGCCTTCAAAGACCTATTCCCAATGACAATTAATTTGTCTTCTGAAGCAGATGAGACTTAATCGTGTTGGCATTCCATCACAAAAGCATGCCATCTTGGTAGGATCATCCTGGGTATGATGCCATTCACTTCTCTTCGGAAAGACGGAATTTGAGGGACTGAACGAAATGTTTCGCACGATCGAGTCGAGTGGAATACCTTTGTTTTCTGCTCGATGGCGGTTGTCCTAGTCTTCCGAGCTCCAAATTGTCCTTCTTCCCTGTAAGGGGGGACCATTGGAAAGAACCACAATTAAAGTGCTTCCCTTGCCAACGTTCCATGGACCTTCTTCGCAGGCCAACATGCTCGAGGGGGGTGGAAAGTCGCCCATAATGAGCCCCCTGGAGCTGGAGGAGCTGGGTTTCAAGCTGGTGGCGTATCCGCTGTCGCTTCTAGGGGTGTCCATTCGCGCCATGGAAGACGCGCTCAAGGCCCTGATAACAGGACGCATGCCGCCCCCTTCCCTGGTAAGTTAATTTTCACCCTCGTCGGCTGCGGTCAGCATGACACTGCGACAAATTCCGGAATTGCGTTTAAGTGCTCTCCCCGTGTACATAATAAGGTTGTTTGGTACCAGATTCTGTTTTGCTTTCGGAAGACCCGCTCGGGGCCCTGAGAACGAGGGTGATGCCGCCCCTGTCTCTAGTGACCCTTGCTAAGTGACCTCAGCGTGACTGTCAAAGACTGCCTCTGCGATTTCGCGGCTCGCCGACTGGTATTGTTTCAGCACGCTCGAGAAAGTCTCTGACCAGAAAAGGAAACCTGCCGGTTTGTTTCGGGCCAGCCGAAAGCATGAGAAAGGATACAGTTTTGTGGTGCTAGTCACTTCGTTGCCAGAGTCGAATCTTCCAATTCAGAAGCTTATTGTTCTATTGTCGCTGAACGGGCTCAGGACGGTCCGTAAAGAAAGCCAGAGCTTTCGACAACCTGGGTAATGGAAGGAACGACTCTTCTGCGAGATCCTTTTCCATTTTGGCAACCTCACTCTTTGACAGGACCCTGCTCCGTCTGCCTACCTCGTCGACTAATCCGTTCTATCCCGCTCAGTCCGGTGATTCCGCTCAAGTTGTATTTGTATTCAGTAGCTTTCCCTTTTCCGTGTAACATGTCTTGCGGACCCTTCGTAGCTGCCCACGTTCAACGAGATCACAGGAAATCATTTCGCTCGTTCTGCTCATTCTGCTCATTCCTGCTGCCGGCCAATATATTCTCCCGCTCTCCGCTTCTGACCATATTCCGCGGATCCCTCCGCAGCCACCCACGTTCGACGAGGTCAAGGAAGTTGTTTCGTACATTCCGCTCGTTCCGCTCATTCCGCGCATTTGGGCTGCCGTCAATCTTTCCTTCTGCTCTCAGTTTCCCGACCACGCCTTACGGACCCCTCCGCAGCTGCCCACATGCGACGAGGTCAAGGATCACATGCCGCTCATTCCGGTCGTTGTGGTCATTTCGCTTCCGGTCTCCGTGAGTCATCCTGTTTTCCGGATTCCTTTGCAGCTGCCCACGTTTGACGAGGTCAAGGAGGTCGTCGGCTTCAACGAGTACTACAAAGAAGAGGAGCGCTACGCATCGTTACCGCCGCCAAAACCTCGCTCTAGTTCCCGGTCGGCGGCATCCCGCCCGGTAGACAAACCGTCTTCTCGCGAACCAACGGTTGCCGTTGAATCGAAAACGGGCGGTTCAGATCAGCCCAACACGGAGGCTTCTCGTCCATCAATGGGAACCGTCGATCAGAAATCGAGCGGTCCAGATCAACCAAAAACGGAGGCCCCAAAATCGAAACCGAAAGCCGCTTGGGCAGGACCCCCGCCTCCGTCCGCTGACGAGATCGCGAAGCGGAGAACGGAATGGGGGCTGGGCTCTTCTCCCGGTTCTAGTTCGTCATCGCCTCAGTCGACTGCTCAAGCATCGGAGAAACCGGTCAGCAAAAGTACAGAAGTCGTCAGTCCCGGGGTTAGAACTACAGGGGACGAAGAGGAGGGAGCTCCGGCGGGTTCTCGAGCGGATTCCGTTACAAGGCTGGACGGAACGCGGCCAACGGAGCCGACGGCGGCGGAAGCGGCGATGAAGACGGCGGAGGACGCGGCCGCGGCCGCGTTAGAAGAGGCGGAGCGGCTGATCGCGGCCGCGGAAAAGAAGGCGGGGGGTGCGAACGAGGGGTCTGGCAGAAAAGGTACGTGTTGCTTTCCAAACGTGTCTGACAAGATGAGATTGGGTTTGGTTTAGCTTTACGATCAAGCTAGTTTTCTTGGCTGGCGGTCTGTGACAACTTTACCTGGTTTAGATAAGAGGATCTTGGTATGCTGGCGTGGTGTGCCGACCAGGGCCCTGTTGCTGCTTTCCGACGAGAGCTTGAGCTTCTTCCTATCTGGAGATTTGGCTTTTACTCCCTCAAAAGTGCGAAAAGTACTGCTAAAGAACTTCACACAATGACCCAATTTCCAATGTAACGGTGACGGAGGCTCGAGGCTTTCCTTACCGTTCTCTTTGCGCTTTCCCGGTTTGCCTGCTATTTGGTCTTTGGTCGCCCGCTCTGTAGTAGTCATTTCGCGTTCCGCGGAACTATGCTGACGTCGCAGGCCAATCCTTTCGTTGCATAGGAATCAAGAAGGGCACTACCCGCATTTTTCAGTTCTGTCCTCGACGTTATATGAAACCCCGCATCCTGTAAGCCGTGTACAATATTCCCACCGTATCCCAGTCCGTCGAGATCGACATTGCGGAAGGGTTGCGAGACCTGGTTTTGCGACGACAGCAACACGAGCGTCCGGTCCGGACCACATTGGAGAAATTTCGTGTCCGCTAACTCGTACTGCTTTTGAGTACTCAGAACCACTACAGCCAAGTTCGTCGAGATCGAGACTGCGGAGGGCTGGCGAGACCTGGTTTCGGAGGAGAGCAGCACAAGCATTCTGTGCGAAAAGGTAGATTTCAGGGTTCATTTACCAATTCGTGCGTTTTGATATCCACAGAACCCACCGCAGCCAAGTCCGTCGAGATCGAGACTGCGGACGGGTGGCGAGACCTAACTTCGGACGAGAGCAGCACGAGCGTCCGGTCCGAAATGAAGAATCTTCCCGGGTTGCGCGGCCGGCAGATTCGCATCCGCATCCTGGGTCCGGACGGCGAGAAGAAGCTGGAGTTCAACGTTCCGGTGAGCGGCGTTCCTTCCTCTTCTCATTTCCTTTTCTTTCCTCTCCTTCTTTCCCGCGGAGAGGTGAGCTGCGTTTTGATTGGACCGACTTGACGTCGTCCCTGGACCTCAAAACGCGTGAACTAACGCGGTGCTTGTTCAAAAGCGATGTGAGTAAGAAAGGGACACCGCTGCAAGTTCTGTACGGCCATCGGAAATTGCATTGCGTAACACTTGCGGGCTTCCGCAGGCGAGCGGTGCTTTTGTCATCGGATGATATGCGAGAAAACCACTGGAACCCCGCTTTCCAAAGGGGCATTCCGAGGTTTGAAGGGTTTGCGATCGGATCTATTCCAATCACAGCAACCTGGATATGGTACCTGTTGAGCAACTTCGTCGATTTAGAAGGCGAGAGCTTCCGGACTGCGGAAGAAACTGAGTTGCACTCCCAGCTCTTCGAACCCCATTGCATATTCACTTCGTCCTTCTAAACATTCAGTCAAGATCCCGTCACCCTCGTTTCCGTATCCGAAAATAGAACGATACGCGTCCTAGAAAGGTTTTCAGTCTTAGCTGTCGTTCAGAAAGTTTATTGTCGGTAAATAAGCGGAACTTGAACTGCACGTGACTTGTGAGAGTAAAGCTAATCCTTACTGACTTTTGCCTTTTCTGCAGGCTGGATTCCTCGACGGTCTGTCAAATGTAGTGCCAGGTAAGCTTTTAGTCAAGCCACGGGACTGGGACTTAGTCGCTGACTTGAAAAGGACTGCCGGAAACGGAAGACTTGTAGATATTTCACGCCAAACGGTGGTGTATGTGGCTGAGGGTCTTATTTTGCGGCAAGGCGACAACTACCATTGACAGTGCGCCTCTATAACGTGTACGTGTTTTCATTGGATAGAGAAGGTTCTGGTAAAGTTTCTGATATATTCAGAAACTGGAAATAGTTTTCAGCCTAATTGCAAGCCGATACAAGTCCTGCAACCAGCCTGCCGTGAGTCCGTGCAACGGCTCATTGTGTAAAACCCTGACGTGGTCGGAAGTTTCAATGATGCAGACCCTAACAACGCTCAAATATCAGACCTAATCTTGAGCGCTTATGAATGTTTGCGGATTGTCTGATGCAGGGGTCGCTGGCCTGGATCTCCGGGCCTTGTTGGAGGAGTCTCTCGCACAACGGCGCGCTACGACGCCCAGCGGAGCGATTGTCGACGTTCAGAGCGGGGCCGACCGAATCCAGATTTTCCTCGACTAACTCGACACATACAGCCATACGCTCAATTCTAGTGGATACTTTGACGAGGAGATTCTTGTAGTCCTTGGATTGGCCAATCAACACGAAGATACGCCGGTCTCCAGTAAGGACCATCCTACTCTCCGTGAGTTGCTTTAGCATTGCGGTTGTCGCAACCGTGTAGAACATGTGATGTTCGACTGTTGCCGAATCATGTCAGTCTACGTACCATTCCGCAAGAAGCGGCTCATGATCTAAGTGGTCCAGGTTTAAATTATTGACATCAAGTCGCGCTGCGCGCGACCAAGTCTGCCCAGCCTCGTTGGAAAGGATCCGAGGCCGCCGGTATTGTCTAGGTTGTCTGCAAACGCGTGGTTTTAAGTTCGATCCGATCTACTGCACGAATTAATTGCGTATAGTACTGGGAAATGCACGCGGATTGGGGATCGACGATTATTGACGAATCACCCGGAGTCGCGGCTATGGTTCAATTACCCGATTGGAAAATTGGTATGCCATGATGGAGCCTAGTCGCGCACGTACGCACTGCCAGAGCTGAGCTAGATCGATGCAAAATGAATGACCGATAAGTACTATTCATGCATAAAGCAACTGGACGTGAAATTACATGTAAGTTAGATGAATATAATTAACAACACACTGCGGCGCCGCGGTTTTCCCGCATCCGTTGAATGAATCACCATTGACTGTGGGGCAGTTTCGAGCCTAGCTAGTACCACCGCCGGGCCCGCGCGGGCCCGACATATGTACGGTACAGCCGGTACCGTCGTACTCTTATGCAACTAATTATGCCAGAAACATATTGATTGACTCACTGATTAATGCTTGCCATCTGCAAGGCCGAGGCCGCGCGGCACCGCGCGCAAGCCTGCCATAAGACAATTATGAGCGTTCGCTGCATATACACAACGCTTGTTCACCATTCGGACGTACGGTACGAACTCATTCATATATATACATGATTTATTCGACTATTCATGCACACATTGATTCATTCAATCATATTCCTCCGCTCGCGTCCACAATCTTCCTTCACTGTACCCGATCCGTCAAGTTCTTATGCGTGCGCAATCTGTAGACACTGAGTCCCGACAAGTCGTTGTTCGTGCATACGTCTCTGCCAGTGGCTGCTGGTGGATTCAACCTTAATTAGGCTTCAAGAGGCGGAGTCTAGCACACGCTGGATCTTTCGTTGGACTCAACCTCGGGGAACCGCATTTGTCCCGCGCATTTTGAATCAAAGCCGCCGTACTTATATGACTGATATGACGGTATAGTATGTATCTCGAACTCACATTTTCTTCAATCTCCGACGAACATTAGGGAAGCCAACAGCACGGGAATCATTGCATGCATTCACGCACCATATTTTTAGACTTGATACAACTAGAATTCTGATTAATTGGTTAATTTTTGAGTATCTTTCCAACTTTGGATTTGACATGCACGTGACTCTTGGTGTCCGGCACGGTCCCGGGCCTCTGACCGGTGTCCCGGGCCTCCGATTGCGCATATGATACACGCTCCACCGTACCGTCACGCCTCGTGCCGCCCGATGGGTTGACTAACTTAAAAGACGCCTTGGGCCTGGGTTGACAATAATTTGACGATCTCATGAGCTCTGATAGGCGTCTCAGCTAGGCTATCTGCAGCAGGTCACTCTTTCTAGGATGTTTTAAGTTCAGTATTGTGCTCATGTGTTGCGCGGTGTAGGGCGACTGGACTAGCGAGCCCCGCGACAGTCGCTAGCCTAGTAGGCCGCTGATGGTAACTCTAAGAATATGGAAAATAAGGTACACATATTGAGTTGCGCAACCTAGGCTAGCCGCATAACAGTGAGGCCATATGATGGATATATGATCAAGCTACGCAGCTTAGAAAATATTGGCGAATGCTTGTATGCATCCGAATGACAGTCTCCGGCCTCCCTCGGAAAAAGACGCAATTACTCATAAAAGAAACTTCGAAGTGATACCCAAGACAATCTGCAATTGATCTTAGGGGACTCGTTTCGCAATCGATCTGCAGATACACTTTGAAAGCCTTTCGTGTCCTTCTTGCTCAATCACTGCCTATGATCTATTTATCACTACGCGGCAGCCTGCGCCTATTTGCAACGAATTAGTTTTCGGTTCCAAGTGAATCTACTGATCTCGTTCCCAAGGCCACACCTGAAAGTCGTTCCTTAAAAAACTACCCCCTAGTGCTCAATTATCTCCGCTGTTCAACTGTCACTTGCAGTCCGTACCTCATGGTGAGAACAAGGGATTGTCTGTACGTCACAACGTGACCTGGAACCACGGTGAACTTGAAGCGCCGCAGAAGAGAAGCCGCAACCACTTTCATCTGGAGGTATGCCATGTCCTTGCCCAGGCAAATGCGAGGGCCGGCCTGCAACGATCCACATTGGATGAGGTTCAACCAACAGTGGAATTCATTACAAGCAAACCCGCACGTAAGAAAGCGTCCACGATAGTGTGTCGCGGTCAAGAACGAAAAGCGAAGTTTTGATAAAGAAAGCCTTAACGGAGGCTCGTGCTGTGCCCTGATATTCCGTGAGTCTGCTCTCTCAATCCGCACCAAACCGGCCAACTCTTGGTCAGACCAACAGTAAGGCCTGAAGCCCGGGTGGGATTGCACGTCCTTGACCTGCCCGCCTATCAGACTAAGGGGCCAAAGACCTTTTCACCAAGAAGGACGCATAATGATAGAATCGTAAAGGCTCTGGTCGGAGGGACGTTGTCCATGTCGGTCAAGTGTGTTCAACACTACATGCGCTTCAGCAGCACCATTTTGGAACGATCTAAAGCTGCCCAGCAAGAGCTCCCGCACGCTGAGTCAACAGCAGCGCGGTCAAGCAATACTCAGCTCTCAACCGGACTTTTCCCTGGAAGACTCGCCCTCTCAAGAACCGGGCCAATCCACCGACCTGGAACGACGAGAACTTGTAGGGCGAGGGTTGCACAAAGTTGCCAGCCGAGTCCAGCCACCTCTCAGGTTTGAATTCCAGCGCGTCGGGGCCCCAGACCACAGCACTGCGTCCCTGTGCGTATGGGAAATAAGCGATCCGCCAGCCCGCTCGAACTATTGCACCGCTCGGGAGGATGTCGTCCGAAAGTGCGGACTTGACATCAGACGGTACCGCGGGGTAGAGGCGCAGGGTTTCGGACAGCACGGCCTGGAGGTAATTCATGGAGCGAAGGTCCTCGAAACCAAAGGCACCTACAAAGAGGATGCGGACATGTCAACTTTGACAATTTCGGGGAAATCCCTGATCTGAACGCGTCTCGGATGTTGCTTAGAACGCTTTGTCAGGGGGATCGAAACTTCGTTGTCCCACGAAGACGGGATGGACTCACAGGATGTGCAACACGTTCCTAGGGTGGATTGCAAGCCCTTGAGGGGGCTCGACCTAGCGTAAGAAAAGGTTGAGGAGGCTTCTGAGCTTCGGCTGGCCGGCAGACTAAGCCCGAGGAAAGAACTGGTGTAATCCTAGTGGCGGGACGTAAGCTTTTAGCCCCTGAAAATGTCCTACCTCAAAAGTCCACGATTCGCTGTACTCAATGAAAGCCTCCCCCGAACCCCACGGTCATTTAAGCAGCGTAATCACATTCAACTCCGGCAACATCTTTCAAACTTTGACAAGATGAGAGAACCGTAATTCACTCGTAATCCCACTTAGATTTGAACCTAAATCCGACGGACTAACCTGAACCCCCTTTTGCTGCGTCGACTCTGTCCACCTCCCCCAAAATCTTTTCCTCCACGTCTCGGTGCTGAGTCAGCGCCCAAAAGAACCACGTCAGCGTGACGGAGGTCGTGTCTCTTCCAGCCAGAACAAAGTTGAGAATGATGTCCCGGAGGAAGCGGTCGGCGGTGCTTGGGACTCCCTCGTTTTCGGGCTCCGGAGCGCTTGGGGACTTCGTCTCCCGGTCGGCTACAGCGATGAAGCGGGAGAGGAGATCCTCGTGCTGTTGGGGACAAGGGCCGGCCATCTCCTGCCTGAAATGACGTCAGGAGAGAGTCAGCAGGGCAAGCTGCTGAAAAAACGTCAGGAAAGCGCCAGCAGGGCAGATTGGCAGGACGGATGGTGCGGGAATCAAAGGTTAGGCAAGGCCGTTTGGCTCGTCGACTTGAGAGAATGGTGTCTGATTGTACGAGTGGCAGGCTTGCGCTTGTGTCGAACTTTACTTGACGAATTTCGAGAGCTATCATCACTGATGCAGATTCTGAGTTCACCAGATATTCTCATCAGAACTTCGACACGAGACAAATATCGAACACACGGGCCCAAATCGGAAATAGAGGAAATAAAAAGTTTTGCTTCCCATGACTTAAAGAAGAGAGAGTAGATAGAACCGAATGGTAACACACTCAAAAAAGGCAAGAGCATCCTAGATATCACTACACCTCACCTCCGCCGCCTGATGACGTCGTATGCAAAGCTGTCGACTTCCTTCACCGCTTCTGCAAGTTTTCTCTCCGACCCCAGGCCCAGGAATCTCTTCAATTTGTATGCTACTGGGGGCTGAAGAAAGCGCCGGGAGTGCACCTCCTGGGCGATGTCAAATGCATTGGCGAAAGGAACGACCGGTAGTTCGGGAGCGAGGCAGCCAGGGTCGACTCCAAACCCAATGGAACAGATGGTGTCAAAGGTGCACCGCTGAAAAACATCCTGCGGGAGGGGAAAGTGAGCAAATGCTTCAGCTGTGCTGTCACATAGTTCAACCCAGACTGCGACCCGAGTGCACGGAAGACACCAAGGACTGGTCCCCTTGAATGATTGTAAATCTCTGAAGCATCTTTAGACTTGCGGCTGATTGGACAGTCGTAGAGCAGCTTTTGTCGTTTCCAGAGCTTCCGATGGCCTGAGACGGTTCCGCATAGTACTAAAAAGAAGTGGAAAAATCTCCTTGTCAGGGCTGGTTGGACAACACAAAAGCTTTGCATAGTGTTTGAACCCTTGGAAGGAGAATGGGGACTCGAATCGAGCTTCCCGGACCCCCCTTAGTCTTGGACCCCCTTCGCAAGCGACACTTGACGTCATTGAGTCCGGCCGCAATCTCGCAGCTTCCCCTACGTGCCAGTGTACGGTGGGTTGAAGACCGACGTACCGGGACCGGACTTCCAGAAGCGGACTCAACGGCGTCACTTGCCGCGCGCGCAGGGGGTCTTGAGCTGAAGGGGGTTAGGGAAGCTCAATTCGAATCCCCGTTTTCCTTCCACGGGTTCTGTCTGTTCTTTGGGTGTGTTGTACTATGATCGAACTTGTACAGGCTCCTTCTGGAGCAGAACATTACACACGATTCTCACTACTGAAAACTTGATACCACTTTGCCTGGCCTGCGGTTACTCCTGCCCTCGTAATTTGTGAATAAGTGCATTCACAATTACTACCTGATCGCGGTCATCCTTAAACGAAGCATTGTAATCCAGACAAAATCCCAGGGAATGGGAGCCAGAAGCGATTCCATTGAAGCAAGCCACCAGCTCTCGCAACCTAGAGTCGTGCAGATGCTCTCTGACCTTTATGCAGGAGCAATTCCACCCCGTAGCCACTTACAGCGCAACGCCCTCATATATCGGCAACCCACCGGACGAGGTCTTCTTCAACAAAGGTATTTCAAGTGGACTTTGATTTGGATTAGCACTAACCTGCAGGTCGAACGGCGTCCCTTCCTCTGCAAACCTCCCCATCAAAGCCACCAGTGCCCCATTGACCTTATTATTGAAGATAGTGAGCATGAGCTCTTTAAGGGACTTTGTGGAGAATTCGTGGCTCGCCGCCTTGCGCTGTACCCGCCACACTTCACCGTCCGCATTAAAAATGCCATTTCCGAGCAGCTCGTAGAGGAGCCCGTGGAACTCTGGGCCCTGCATAAAGGAGCAACAGCATTGGGCTTTGATCATTTCGTGTTTCTCAATCTAGTGAACAACAAGCCCAGTGAATACTAAGCATTTTGGGGTTACTAAAAACCCCACCAAAAGGATCACCCGCTACCCACCCTAACCCCCTAACTAACCCTACCCGTCTCCGTTACTTTTCACTAGCAGTTAATGTTCACTACATCGATCTGGATGATCATTTCCCCCCAGCACAGCTATGCGAACTCGGTCAGAAGATTGCCTCTGTTCTTTTGTAAATCAACTAATGTTGAGCTTCTTACAGGTCCCATCCACAATATAAACTGGAAAATCAACAGGAAAGAATGACGCGATGCAATTGCTGACAAGGAATGGTGAGGAAATGAGAACTTCCTGGACCAAGCTCTATCTGGTTTCAGGGGAATCCTTGTGACGCTGCCTTAAGACGAGAAAGAGGCCCTTCCAGAAGCAAATCCTGTGAAGCCTGCAATGCATTCTCTGCCGCTGCAAGCTTGGCAGATTCAAAGAAGCAGCCACAAAATGTCATGTAACGTGCTCGACTGTGGGGTTATAACCATATGGCAATCAACAATCTGAGAGGCATCTCCGTAAGAGACTCCAATTGTGCCAACGGAGACAATTGCTATTGGTGAATGTGCAAGCAGGCACATATTTCAGCTTAGGTGACCACAGAGTCCGTCTAGGTGACCACAGATTTCGTCCAGCTGAAGAACCAGACTGAAGTCTCAAGGCCATTGCTTTGGCAGTAATACTTCAATGGCTGGCATGTGAGGGTCACAATCTCAAGATTCATACGTGCGCTCATGAACACCGCCGGACTCCCGGTTGATTGCCTTAGTAAGCTCAGCCCCCCTAATGCGAGCTCACCTTGGGATAGTTCTCGAACCTGCTCTTGAGCATGTGTTCCACATCTCGAGGGTCTGTCACCACGACTAATTTGGCACCCGGGATAGTAAGGAAACACCATGAAGAGTCTGCTTTGGCCATTGTCTCTACCAGCCAATCGTAGGTCCTGTGCATGTTTTTCAAAAGCTCAAACAGGCTGCCAACCAGGGGGTACCGTTTGGGCCCGGGGAACACCTCTTTCCGCTCCCCTGAAATGCTGCTACTCCCGGCACCCCAAAATAGATAGAGCACCGAAAGCAGCCCAATCGTCAAGCTGAGAAACATCGCGAAAAGACCAATGGCTGTGGCTGAGAGTTCGGTTGGCCAGAAAGCGTTCAGGCTCCTGCGCATGTCCCTTAAAGTGAAACCCCACACTTTTGGAAGCCCTGCTGCAGCAAGGAGGCTCTTCCGCAACCCGCCAGCATTTGTCTCGGCCTCAAAGGTCGTCTCCATCGCCACACGGACAAAGCAACACTACTGTAGAAGGCGTCAAACTAAAAGCATTTCAGGTGTTCAGGTAAGTCCTGCTCATCAGAAAGCACGAAAAGCTGGAATCGAGCCGGAATTGTGTAGCGAGAAAGTGTGGACCACTTCAAACTTGAAAGCGGAAAGATGCATCATGCAGAGCTGTGTATTATGTGCATGCATAAGACTCAGGAGGACCAAACCATAATGGAGCCTGAGGACAAACCCTGCTCCTCACGAGTCACAACATCACAACGCGCGAACAGTTGTGCTGCGCAAGAGAGGACGGGCGTGCCAAACCCTGCCGGGACACGTGTCCCGAGCGCTGCCCGTCGATAAATTAGCGCGCGTCGTCGGTCAGTTTTCTTTCGGTACTTTCTGTGGAACATGTTTGAAGAAACAAGCGCAGAACTTGGGCCGTTCGACGAACCGATGAGGTACTTCTGCGTCATCGGAGGGTCGGGCAACGTTTTACTCATTGGGCAAGTTCTGCGATCGGTCTTAATCGTAGTTTTCGGTCAGGCGGCCAGCCGGTAAGGCCCCTGCTGTACCTGTCTACCTGTAAGGCCCCTGCTGTAGGACCATGTCCCTATGGGGTCGAGCGCCGATACTTGAAGGACAATCGTACAATCGTAATGACAGGTGCATGTCCAGAATTTGATCCCCGTTTTGTTTGAACATATTAATTGAGGGTTTGATCATCCGAGAACTTATCGATCCCTTGAGAATCAAGGAGTCCTTTGAGGTATCCGCACTGGGATGCGTAGACTTTAATTTTTAGTATTGTGGTTAGGGTTGGTATGGTGGGTACCGTATATGGGTGCGCGCGGAGCAGGTGTCTTTTTTATGTTTTTGCATGGGTACGTACCTGTACGGATTTTTATCGTGTTAGTCGGAGCTTGTTGTATTCGACTGGTCTTGGCCTACTTGATTTGAACACCTTTCTTGGGACTGTTGAGAATCATACCGTTTACGCTGGTGGCTCACATGAAAGACGACGTCGTAGTGACGCGTTGTTCTACTAAAGAACTTAGCACATGTGAAGACTTGTACGAGCTTATTGCCCGCGCGGCCTGCGCATGCGCCCGCTACTAGGGCTGCAAATCGTATAACGAATGACCAACTTCCGTACGTTGTGTGCATATATATAAAAGTATATCATTTAAAATGCATATGCCGGAAATTGTATCAAACATGCATTCGCCGACCCGGTACGTGGCGCAGCGTAATGATACTGTGCCGATGGTAACGATCGGAAAAACCAAGCCTGTTGTTGCTTTCTCAAGTACGTAGAGTCCAGCTTCATTATGTCCGTTCCATAAAAATGCCTAATGTCGGACTTGGTGTGCGTGCTCGCTCTGGGATCCGATCAAATAGACAATCGTACCATAGAATGCAGTGATAGTGAAGCTTTAGCAGTCTGGTACATTTATCAAGTTCACGTCACTGCTAGCTTCTGTGGCTTCGAATCTCGAGAGATCTTCGAAATATGGTCCAGCTCATGTCGATTATGCAGAGACTGGCCTTCGAACCTCGCAAAGTGCAAGGGCAAAGACATCGACCTTTTTGGTGCCAGGCTTTGACCTCAGCTAGAGAGAAGGGCAATCGCTGTGGGGCTTTGGAAGATCACGCCTTTGTTACTAGCAACTTGGCCACCCTCCGGAAAGTGCTTGGCGTAAGGCTGGGAAATGAGTTGGGCCCTGCACGGATGAATGGAACTGCTATACTGAGAGTATGCTTTGAGCATACTTTCAAAAAACATTTTTGAAAACCCGACTCGAGATACGCGAGACGCTCGATCTTAGTACATTTTAAAGGTTCGGGCTCGAGGTGTGCAACAAGCAAGTCGTGAATGTTTACATGAGAGTTCTATTTTTGAAGTTGGAACGATCCGCTGGTGGTGATCATCCAAAAACCTGGAAGTTGGCGGGTTTGGTCGACGGCTCTAGTTTCACAAGATGATTCAGACCAACAGCATCTTACTTCGAAGCAGGATTTAGGAGGTGCAAAGGGGTCTGTCGAGGGTTCATTCGCAACCAAAGAAATGGCTAACTTCAGTCGATTCTCCCTAATCCGTTTCCGCTATGCTTTTCCTTGCTTTTTCTCGAAACGCAGCAGCGTAGTAGTATAGACACCCTGAATTAACCACGTCCACCTGTTGCATTCTCTTGAGACTCCTGATTCAACCGATAAAATTAGCAAGCAGAAGTGCCATGTTCAACAGAGGAGTCCAGGAATATGGTACAGGCAGTACTAGCTTTCGCTCACCTGTGAGCCCCTCGAACCCGCGGCTGTTCGTTCCGTCCGTTGGTCACGCCGGTACGGGAACGCTTCGCCTTCTGCCAGGCGACTTTGGGCGGCGGACGTTCCGCCGGACGTTCCGCTGAGCGTCCGAAGGCATTCGCTCCGGTGGACCGGGTCTCCAGCTTCGACTGCGCGGTGTGCAGCCGTTCCGGCGCCGGAATCGGGGCGGAAGCGACGGAACATGGTGGGCGCACTGGAGTTCGATTTGCACCTGGAAAAGGAGTAAAGCTTGCTGTTGAAATCTCAGGAGCAGATGCATGGGAATCTTTTCCTGTCGTGGTAGATCATATCAGGATGATAAACGCGATGTTTGGAATTCTGCCGGTTTCGCTGCAATATTAGGGAAGAGGTCAGACTTATCTTAGGTGAAGGGAAGCTCCACCTAAGAAAAGTCTGAGAAGCGCGTACAGCTTCTCGAAAGGACGGTTTTATTTCCGGTAAGGCGAGAAGTCGGATGACAGGGCGCAGGAAGGCTCTCGTCGCCTTCAGCAACGGAACAACGACAGATCCGGATGAACTCTCGGCCCCTTGGATGTAGCCCGGCTTGTGCTTGGGTCCAACTTGAAGAGCTAAGACGTTCGGAAGCTAGTTTGAAGAAAGGCCTGTACTGGAACATAGCCAAGACGACAAATGCGACCAAAATACGAACTTTGACCGACTTCCGCCAGACCTCGCAGCTTGATATCCAGTCTCTGCAACGACGCCAGGATGCTCTGCTCCTCCAGAGACAGCGCTGTCGGCGGTCGGTGACTTCCCCCGGTCGCAGCCGCTGACGTCATCCCAACGTCACCCGGGTGCCGGCGCTGCGGTGCGACCGGCTCATATGCGGGCCGCTGCCCGTAAGCGATCGCTGGGGAAGGAGCGACGTCAGAGTGACGTCGGCCGGAGGGGGTTTGGTGACGAGACATCTGGAAGGCGTCCCAAACTCGCGCCGCGGAGATGCCGGACTCCCCTGGAAGAGCGTATGGGACTCTGGGCCCCTGGAAAAATGTCCCAGTTCTAGTTTCTCGCCCTCCGCTAAAAGAGACCCGGTTGGAGATGCTGGGTTCCGGCTGACTGAACGTCGCTGGCCGAGGCTCGAAACCGGGGAAGTCTAGAGATTCTCGACGAAGAGCTTTTGGCACCACGGGGTTGGGAACGTCTACGCTTCCGTCCCGCCAGCTGCTGGGTCGCGCCACGTGCCTGGTCGAGAATCCTTGCACGGCTCCGGAGCGCGCCACGTGAGGGTTGCTGACGTCATCCAACTTGGAAGGGGCATCTCTGGGCGGACAAAGAGAGTCTTGAGACACCTCCCGTTTCGGCAAGCGGATGACGTCAGCGGACTCCCCGTCTCCCCTGCAAAGTCCCATTTCTACTCCGGCCCCCGAGGCCCTGTTTCTTTGACTTCCCCACGTATTCGCCGGCGTTTGGAGTCGAGCTTCGTCCAAACGGGGCCTGGGATAGAAACGGTCCGTTTCGACGGCGCTTATGACTTCCGGTTCTGCTCTTGGCATCGTAGGGCTGCTGACGTCTGCAGAATCTCTATGTGCGTTAGCAGACAGGTTAACGGCTGATCCCCTCTCGGGGGGCACAAACTCCCAGGCCAAGCTGCCTCCTCTTACGACCGCTCTTCTTGTGGCCATCGTCTCTGTTTCTTTTCTCCGCTCACTTACTCCACCCCTTTCAAGCGGAGCAGAATCCGTTTCGGGAACCCCCGTCTCCTCTCTTTGCGCCTCTCTCCGAGTTGCCGCTCCAGATTCGGGAGCCAGGCCCGATACCCGTTTCGCTTGCGGTTCCGCTTGTGCCTTCCGTTCTGCTTCCGAGTTGCTTCCCGCTGTTCGATTCACTTCCATGATCGGGTCGTGATCTGACATTGACGGTTTCGGATTCCGTCCGCTCGTTGATTCCGCCCCGTCCGGCACTCGTTCCGCCCGCCTTATCCGCATGATCTCCGCGTCTTTGGCCGCGAGCCGCGCCTTCAGGGCGGCCACCTCAGCCGCCAGCCGCGCTGTCAGGTCGCCTTTTTCGCCGCCTTTCTCTCGGCCCGGCTCTACTTGCTTCGAAATTTCCCTCTTATCCGCCCGACTTTCATCGTCTTGATGAACCGCGTCGGACAATCCAAAGGCAGCGGTTTCCCTTTCATTCTGCGAGTCTTCATCTCTCGCTTTCCCCGCGACCCCGTTCTTTTCGACTTCCGCTTTCATCCCCGGTTCCACACTTCCCTTTTTCACACCGCTTCGCTGACCTTTTTCCTCCAGTGATGAAAACACGCTGAGTCTTCTTTCCGCAACTTTCGTCTCCTCCCCACCGGAAACCTCCTCCAAAATTTCGACGCACTCCGGAATCCTCTCTCCAGACATCGGTCTCCGTCTCTCTTCGGTCAACCGTCGCCGTTCGTTTGCCGCACTAAGCGCCCGTTGTTTCAAAACGGCCTCCCGACTCGCAATGCGATCCGCCTGAACCGCTAGCGCGAGGAAGTCCGCCAGAGACTGGCGCTCGGGAGCTCCTACCGGTCTCTTCTCCCCTTCAACCGGTCTCTTCCCCGCATCAACCGGTCTCTTCTCCCCTTCAACCGGTCTCTTCCCCGCATCAACCGGTCTCTTCTCCCCTTCAACCGTTTCCTTCTCCCCTTCAATCTGTCTCGTCTCCCCTTCGATTCGTCTTTTCTGCCCTTCAACCGGTCTGTTCTCCGCTTCCACCGGACCATTGGCAGAACATTTTTGTTCGCCGTTCCCGAGTGTCAAGCCTTCCTGAGTTGCAAGCTCGGCGTTTAAGCTCGACGCATCCTCCGCTAACTCGACTGTTTTCGCTATTCTCTGCCTGGAATGGTCTTGCCCGAACCCCTCTTTTCTCCCTGATGAGCTATGCCAAGCAACCTTCGCTTCCGAATCCCTCTTTTCACGGGTTGATTCAAACGGACCCACGCCCGGGATTTTATCCTGGGCGCTCGTTTGGCAATTTGCTTGTGCTATTTCCGGCGACCCCGCGCTCCCTGAAACAGGTCTACTGGTCGCCCAGCTCGACGCGGCATGCATATGCGCCAGCTCCCGCTGCAGCACCTGCATGGACGCCCTTAAGCCGCCACGTGGCCCGCTGAGATTGGCGGACTCCTTGCCAGACACGTCACTCGACGCAAGTCCCGACAGCTGAGGGGCAGCGCGGTTTGCACAAGAACCAACGTCTTCCACGACCCCCGAACAGGACGTCGTCCCTCCGCCAACGTCTTTCCGACTGCTGACGTCACCGGTCATAAGATCCCCCCTGTTCGTGACGTCACCCCGCCCGCCCGGGCCTGCCGTGCCTGGCGGGCTGTGCGTCATCAGGACGCTCCCCTCGCTTGCAAGCGCGCGCGTCTCCTGGGGCGACCACTTTCTGCGCTGCCTCTCTACTCGGGTCGCCGGTTCAGAGTAAGGAACCTTTTGCGGGTTGGAAGTGCTGAGTTCTGGTCGTTCCGCTGGATCGGGGTTCTCTCGGCTCTCTTCGTGACTGCGGGAAAAGTTGCAAATCACGTTTTAGAAAGAGTGTGTGCAATGTTTAGTAAAGAAGGGTCTAGCAGTTGATGTGATAGCTTCAGTCTGGAGAGCAGAGAGAGCCGTGCTCTTCTTGTTCACAATGAGCTTGAACTTTGACCAAAAGGGTTGCAATCCGCTGCTTTTGAAGAGCTCAATTTTAATGCGCTGTCTCTGCTCTGATTATCTTCTTTGATACACTACGTTAAATGCATCAAAACAAGCTTCGTCACCTCCTGTCACTGAAACGCCCAGACGAGATCAAGCAAGATCCAAGAAGAGAGGCTCAATGAGGAGCTACGCAAAATGTCACCAGTCGAGAAGTGCTCATGATATCTCGTGCGGCCAGTTCGGGCCAAGCGTCAGCAGATTATCACAGGTGACGATTCCAAATCTCCGCTTTCTGCCCACCAACGAATCTTGCAACAGACGTTTTTTCTAGAAAGAGGAATACCCGTTAGAGAAACGGACAATGCAAGCAGGGCTGAAGTATTCACGCCGGGAAGGATCCGCACAGAGCGGGACAGAAGGACGAGAACAAAGAAGCAGCATTCTAGCAAGCGGAGAACCCAAAGACAGTCGATGGATGGCCCGACATTTTTCAATAATAGCCTTGGATTGGGAACACGACATACAGCCAGATATAAGCGCTCACGTCAACCACGGACTCTCTCGGGCAGCTAGCGTGGGCCGTGCAGATAACCTGTTTGCCCCGCCAACCCCGCCTCGAATCCCTATTTTTGTGTCATTTGTTTTCTCCTCCGTACCGTACATTCTAAACCCGCTGCTCCCATCCTTGCCCGTGCTTTCTCCTCCCCTCCCCAGCACCGGCCTGCTTTCCTTGCCCCTTTCCCACCCCCGCGCTCTCAGCATCTTCGCTGTTTCGTAATCTTGGATAACCCGAGTATTCCACCGAGGCCTCCTATGTCTCTGGACTACCCCTTCAGCCCCCCCGGTTCCATTCTCCCCAGACACCTCCCTGTTTTTTGGAGGGTTCCCTCCACTTACGTTACCTTTCTCGCCCCCACTAGATTCCCAAGGTTTTCTAGGACTGATGGTAGCTCTTTCAGATTGTCGTCTACTCACACAGTCCTCCTGCCCGTGTGCCTTGTCATGGTGCCGGGGGGTCGCTTCACTGAGAACCTTCCCCTGAGCAGACCCCCCCTCTGCAGCACTGTAGGAACCAACTTGCCGCCCCGCTTCACTGACACGCGCCACCTCATCCTCCAAGACCTTTCTCTCGCCGCCCCTCGTCTTTCCCTCTGCTGTAACACCCCCGACTTTCCTCCCCGCCAGAGCGCTTGTCACACTGCCCCCGTTCTCCTCTCGTCCCTTTCGGTCAGAGCGTGCATGCCCCACCCCCCTGCCATTGTGCTGCGCAGCTTGCAACACCCGCTTCCTATCTTTCACCCCCGCAGGCACACTCTCTCGGCACTCATTTTCACCCCCCCCTGGAAGTTTCTCCGGCCAAGGGAGTGCATTCTCATCGCCCCCACCAAGCTCACAACGGAGCACCTCACGCCCGATGTGAATCTGCTTTGGCGCGGCCCGCCCCTCGCGCATGTAATTTGCGAGCCGCGCCCGTTCTGATTTGCGCCGCTCGAGGGCGTCGAGCGCCGCACGGGCAGACTCTTCCTCGGCTTTCCTTTTCATATCCTGCCATTGTCTGCAGGTAGAGAAGCGCTTGCTGAGTTGCACTACTTGTCGACAATGAAAATCTCAAGGCCCAGTTCACAAATAGTTGATAAAACATAAAAGACCTACAATGGTAAGATTGATTGTTGCGTAGGTTTTCAAGGGAAAAGTAAGCAATGCATGTCCGGCTCGCAGTAGATGGTCACAGCTGCTTCAGGTATAGAGACAAGTACAAGTACACGTCTGGAGACTTTCCGCAGTCCGCAGTAAGCAAGCCTTGAGGCGGAACACGAGCTCAGCATTGAGAATCTCTTGCTGGAGAAGTTTTCAGAGTGCCTGTGGACTACATCTTCTAGACCACCAGCTTGCACGACAGCATTGCGCTAAACAGCAGTCACAGCTGTTTGGCAGTAGGAGAAACAGGCACAAATTGGACGATCTACCAAGTGCAACCAGCAGAATGGCTTAAGGACTCGAATGTCTGCTTACTTAGCCTGTTTGCGCCAAAGTGTTCCAACTACTCCCACAACCTTTCCGCAGACTGAAAAGAAGAGCTAATTGCCGGGCGCCTGGTAAATTTCTGTGTTTTTTTGCTGGGTCTACTGAATGGGCAAGCCAGCTTACGAGATCGATAGATCAATTTTGAGACACTGTGCTATGCAACTCTGGCAATGCCGTTGAGGGCAATACAATAGTAGGTATTTTGCAAAAAGAACAGCATGCCACTGGTTTCTAATCTCATATGCAATGCTGACTGAAAGCAGTCCATAGAAGCAAGTGGGCGTACCAAACGCCGCTCACCTTTGTCGCCTTGCCGTCTCCTTTGCGTGCTCCTTGCGTTTGTGCTCCACGCTTGCCCTCAGAGACATTGTTCAGAAGCTGAACCCCAGAAAGGCAGTACCTTTCTTGGACCTTCATTTGCCCTTCACCAAAGGCAAGGTTCCTCTATGAGCCTCCCCATGACAGATTGTTATACGTCCGCTCCAACAGTCGGTCCCACCAAAGCATTCCACGCATGCTGGTGGAATCCGTGCTAAATAATCTACCCTGCAGTCTAAGTTAGTCTACCCTGGCCTTGGATCGTCTCTTTGCCAATGGAGAGCCGGTCATCTCTGTACGTCTCAGTTGGCATGGCCTATACTCAAAGTTACTGTACACGGCCTTTCAATAAGGCAGGTATACAAGCACAAGAGTTCCGCCGGATTGGCGCCACCGTCTCAGCTGTGCGACCTCTGTTCATCTGTGGCTTTGAAAAGAATAACAAATCACAAAAGGTTCGATGTGAATGCATGAATGATCCAGCTCGCTCTCGATCGGGCCGACTTGTTCAAAATTCGGCTGAGGCTGAAAGTGCGGAAACACTTTGATGTGCTCGCGCACCTAAAAACTTGACAGCGACAACCGTCAGATCTACAGCCTCTGGCGTTGGCAACCGTCCATGTATTCAGGGGACCTAGCCATTACGGTAACCGATATGTTACTTCACCCCTTTCTCGTTAGCAGCCTGGATTCAATCAGCAAAGCTGAGATTCAGAAGCAAGCTCAGACCGCTGTCACTGAAGCCTGAAGGAAGTTGAAGGTGGGGAGCAGAGGATTCGCGCCGCTATTGTGTCCTTCAAAAGGGCTGCATTGCCATTGAGGTGAGCTGTCAAACACACGCTTTCTTTTCTGGGTGCTTGTAAAGCTAGCTTGATTTTGTTGCAAGTTCCGCTACGGGCGCCAGCCAAGGCAGGTGAGATTCAAATGCAAGCATTACGCCATTGCAGTCCTTGTTTCTTGATTGAGCTTTATGAGATGTTTTGGAGGCATGCGCGACGAAGTTGCAGTTGCCATTGACTTTTCATACTGTGTTGTACGGTGCGAAGTAGACTTACGCTCACCGTTGTAGCCACATATGAAAGCCCTTTTAAGGTCTAACACAGATTACCACTGCAATCTGCAAGAAGGAACGCTTACATTTTCTGAAGCCCCCATCCATACTTGTCTTTAAAATACCAGGTCTCCGAGACACCTAAGGTATATCTGCAGAAACAGGGGATTTGTTTGAAGGCTGTTGGAGATATATCAAATTGCAAAGAGCGCCCTAAAAGACGGACGTCAAATCCCTAAGACCTCTGTAAATTGTGTATCGGAATATGCTTCTGCTTGTCAATCAGCCTCCTATTCCAACCAGAGTCTATTAATGCCACCCTCCATCGTCTATGGTCATTGGTCTTCCATTCCCTGTCAATCACCACTGCATTCTTAAACTGATACAGGTTCTCTGCGACCCAGGACACCCGCTCAGAACCCCACTTTGACAGCACACGACCACCATGGCATTTGGGGGTGGCACTGGATTCTCCTTCGGAGGTAGCAGTACCCCTGCATTCGGCGCCAGTACCGGGGGGCTCTTTGGCACCAGCACATCAACCCCCGCTTTCGGATCGACCGCAACCCCTGCTTTCGGGGCCACTGCAACCCCTGCTTTTGGATCCAGCACATCCGCATTCGGGGGGGCAGCGACCCCCGCGTTTGGCGCAAGCGCTCCCGCTTTCGGTGGGGCAGCAACCGGCTTTGGGGCGGGGTCCTCCGCCTTCGGAGGGGCCACTCCAGCGTTTGGCGCAAGCACACCCGCCGCAAGCGGTCTGACCTTCGGCTCCTCTGCCACGCCAGCGTTCGGTGGCGCCACATCAGCGTTTGGCGCCACATCAGCACCCTTCGGGGCGTCCACCCCTGCGCCTGTTCCCAGCACGCCAGCTTTTGGTGCAAGCACCCCCACCTTCGGGGGCGGGTTCGGAGCCTCTGCTTCCGCTTTTGGATCCACGCCTAGTTCCACCCCTGCTTTCGGCGCTGCGCCCCTAGGAGGAGCATCCGGTTCAGCCCCCGCATTTGGAGCAACGGGGTCAGCATTCGGTGGAATGTCCGCTTTTGGGGGGGGCAGCAGCACACCCGCTCCCACCCCCTCGTTTGGCGCAGCTCCTTCCGCAGCAGCAGGGATCGCCACCCCGAGCAGCACTCCCGCTTTTGGATCAACTGCCACCCCCGCTTTTGGCGGCACGTCGGCATTTGGAGCGGGAACCAGCGGGGGGCTCTTCTCAGGGTTTGGGAAGCCCACTGCCGCGGCACCTAGTCAGACACCAACCAGCGCACCTGCTACGGCGGTGCCAACTTTTGGCGCCACAGGGTTGGCGCAACCTGCCGCAAGCGCTCCTCTCTCATTTGGCCAAACCGGTGCCGCTACTCCCGCCCCCCTGTTCGGTCAAACGGGTGCTTCGACCACCCCCCTGTTCGGCCAAACTGGTGCTTCGACCACCCCCTTGTTTGGACAAACTGGCGCTCCAACAACCCCCCTGTTTGGTCAGACGGCGCCCTCAACCACCCCCCTGTTTGGACAAACCGGCGCAGCTCCTGCATCTACTGCAGCCTCGACACCGGCGTTTGGCGGAGGCAGTCTTTTCGGTCAAACTGGGGGGGTCCAAACCCCAGCACAAGCAACAACCCCCGCTTTTGGAGCCCCGTCTACGGGCGCTTCAGCAGCCGCGCCTAGTTTTGGAGTCACTCCCGCCCCCGCTGCCGCTACGACCCCCTTCAGTTTCACCCTCCCCACCCCAGGCGGCCAATCCCAGGCCGCCACGTCAGCAGCCGCTACAACCCCCGCGCCTAGTTCCTCGGCTGCCACCCCCGCCGCAGGTCTCTTTGGTGCAAAAACGCCCGCCACGACTCCGGCCTCTACTGGGGGTTTCTCGTTCAGTGGCTTTGGAGCGGCTACTACCGCAGCAGGCCCTGTTTCGACGGGGGGCGGGCTTTTCGCGGGTATCACGCCAGCCGCCCCGGCCGCCAGCAAGGCCCCCGCTACACCAGCTACCGCCCCTCAAAGCGCAGCGGGACTATTTTCAATGACTGGAGCAGCGACTAGTAGTGCTGCGGCAGGGTCTGTTCCGGCATTTGGTGCGTCGGGGGCGGGGTCGTTGTTTGCAAAAGTCGGGGGGACTGAGTCAGCGGCGAAGGCGGCAAGCGCGCCAGCAACGTCGGGAGGCGGGCTGTTCAATCTTGCTGGAACCGGGGCCGCAACTACTCCAGCAGGTGAGGACTCTCATTGCATCATTGTGCTGCAGACTCTTCAAAGTTTCTGGAAGGGCCAACATTTCCCACCAGATTTGCTCGTAGAACTTTCTTGCTGATTCTTTTGTTGGGCTGTTTGTCCTGTTCGCTAGGCGTCTCGTTAGCAAAGGTTTTGACCTGATTTAGATTGGAGGAAGTTGAAAAGGCTGGTCGAGACAGTGGTGGACTGCATCAGGACTCTGTTGTTGCAATTTTAAGTAGACTTTATCAAGGGTTCAAGCTTTGTGTCGTCAAGTCGCAAGAGCGAAACCTTTTGAAATGTTTCTCACAGTACAACCTTTAGAATAAGGGACTTTGTTCGAGCCATCTGCAGTAAACCCTTGCTTTGTAGTTCAGAAACAGAGTCATTGCGTACAGGGATTCCTAGGGTCATCTTCATCTGCGCTGTAGCATCTGCGCGCAGAGGCCATATGGAAGAGTAAAAGACAGACCATATCACAGAGGGTTTTTCATTGTATCGCAGTACGTCCAACTGTCTTCAGGATCCTTCCTTTAACCTTTTGCACAGGACGACTCAGAGAGTCCACTTCTTACTCTTCACGGTACTTGTTTTCCAACTTTTTATCAGGGTTAAGTAGCCGTCACTAGTATTTCAACACATTCGTCCCCGTCATGCAGTGAGCAAACCCGCTGCAACGACCGGCTTCGCCTTCCCAACCGCACCTACCACCGCCGCAGCAACCACTCCAGCCACGACGACTCCGGCCACCGCTGCTGCTGCCACGTCAGCGCCAGCTGTCGCGCCCACGACCGCCGGGCCTGTGACAGCTGTCGTGCCAAAACCTCCGTCCGAGATCGTGGGAAAGAACGTCGAAGAGGTAAGCAGTACGGCGACTCGAATCTGTGAATGTTGATGCCACCGATTCGAAGAAGGTGGCGCATCTGGGTGCGGTTGAGCTCAAAGAAAGGGCTCCCTTGTTAGGCCTTTGCTAGCTCTGCGGTACTACATAAGGATGCGAACGGCTATACAAAGGTAAGGGCTTCACTCGTCGGAGTGACATTTCTCCTTGATGTGGGAGCTTGGGTGTTTCGACGAATCTGATGAGGTGGGCGTCCGCTGCGAGTTCTTCCATTCAACGACCCCTGCCGTTGGAAGGAGTCGAGGGAATGCTCTTTCGAGGTAGCACGCTTCCAATAGGAGGCCGAAGCACTGACGTCAGCTTCCAATGTTCCTCGATACTGGTGATGATTGGGTTCTCTACCAGATTAAAAGGACTTTTTGTCCCCTCATCGGCAGATCATCATCGGCTGGACTGCCGAGCTCGAGACGCGGTGCGCTTCGTTTGCCAAGCAAGCGGGGGCGCTGATGGACTGGGATCGGCGCATACTGAGCAACCGAGGGGTGCTCATAAAGCTCGAGGTTGGTATTACAATCAGCTTTTACGTTCCGGTCCTCTCACCTTCTGAGCATTTGAATTTTCAAATGCTTCCAGAAGCCATACCTAAATGAAGGAAAGTGAACAGAGTGATCGTTTTTCACTTGCTTGCAAGGAATCATTTGACAAGGTGTGAAAAGATGTAGAAGCGGAGACCCTTCTGTTGTGGAATGCCTACAATCATCATGGCGCATTTCAGTGGAGTGCCAGTATCGGCTGCTAGAGCCTCAGTTCTTCGGCATGCAGCCAACGTGCCTCTGCGAGTCGGATGGCCAGCGTGCCTCTTGGAGGAAACTCCTACACTTTCCCACGGAAATCCAGCCTGATCACTCACCTTTCCCCAGTCTTCCACAAGACTGGATCTATCTACAGTAGTTATGCCGTTAATAAGAAGAATGTCCAAGAAACGAATGTTGCTCTACGTGCCTTAGTCAGCCCAGTCGCCCCATCTCGGCGATTCAAAAGATTCGAGCGGTTTTTCTCAAGTGTTCCGTAACATCGCTGACGAGCTTATTTTGCCCGCTACAGTCGGAGGTGGGGAAGGTGGTGGAGAGCCAACGCGCGCTGGAGAAGCAATTGGAGCTCGTGGAGATGCATCAAGCGGAGGTGCGTCACCTCCACCATTCCTACGAAGAGTCATCTGCTTGTCTTAAACGAGATTGCTGAACATCAATCATCCAAACGACTCTGGTTATTTAGAGCACTCTCCGGATGGGTCAGGATTTCGTCTGGGTTAGGAAGTACGGTCTTCAAAAGCATGGGAGCTGCTGTCACGTTTCAAGGACGGCGAAACGCAAATGTCCAGAAATCACTTTATGGGATTGAGCTTACCTTTAAAGCTCTTCTGCACCTTTGAAAGCAAACTTGCAAGTGTTGCTCTTTTGTAATCGTGCTGCGGTCTAAGCACTTTCAGACCAGCTTGGCTGGGAGTCCGCTTGAAAGTCTTGGCCTTGACCTTTTGGGGGCAGCCTTGATTCAAGTGTTCAATCCATGTACTTTCCTGTTGAGTTGCCCTCGATCGTTTCTTCCTGAAAGTCGGCTCAAGAGTTCGCATGTAAGAGGTGCCTTCAGCTCTAGGCAATGTGCGATTCAATGGGAGCTCCTTAGCACCAAACTTCGCAAGAGCAGAGCTCGAGACAATTGCAGACCCTTCTCCATGAAGTCCTCTCTTTGGCAATCACGACCCGAAATTGAGCGTTCAGCCTCAGAATGCACATTGCCGTCTTGAGCCAACTAGTCAATTGTTCCAGTATTGAGAAGTTCAGGAGGCTCCATAGCATAGTTACTGCCATTTCGGCATATTCAATCTCGCAGTCGGACACTGTCCAACCTTTCAGGTCATAGCTCTCCATTCCAAGATCTTTTTAAAATTTTACGAGTTGAGAAGGGACTCCGGTTACTGTATCGAGCAAGTTTGGGTGGGCTTCGCTTCTGGGGTTGCTTGTCGATAAGCATGCGTCAGAGACCTGTGTTCCTCCCCTGTTTTGTCATGGGGCCTCACATGTTTATCAACCCCAATCTCAAGGTGTTTCTTCCTGGTACTTTCCTTTCTATCTGTCAGTCGAAGAGGCAATGCAGCCTCTTCGTGCCTTCAGAGCCATGCGCTCAAGTTGCAATTGATCCCAACAAAGATTGGTGCCATATCACCGCACCTTATATCAAACTGGCTTTGGCTAAGACCTAGCCTTCGGTTGCTCTTATTGCGAAGACATCCTGCATCCGCGCTGTTGATGTGCGGTTGTGTGTTTGCGTCTGCGTATTAAATCACCATCCTTGGAAAGAGACTGCGGGACCGGATTGTGATGTCTCTCTATTTAGAGAGCTTGTGTCTTGGTGCGTGGGGGAATGTTGCCTGCTCCAACGAATCCGAACACGTATGTCCATTGCTGTGGCGTTTGAGCCTGCTTCTTTGGGGCTGTTGCCAAAGCAGCAGTGCTGATCTATTCTGTAACATAAGTTTTGAGATTTGTGGAGCTCATTCTTTTTTATCGGTTGGCGGTTTGTTGCCCTCAACCAGTCCTACTGGTGAGAGGTGGATTGGTGGTTGAAGCGAAGGGTCGCGAACGTTGTTTCGCTTTTCTGCTGAAACGTGGCATGAGTGCAGGATGTGTATATTTGCGCTCTTAGACGGGAGACGACTGATTCCCATGGAGGGTTGTTGTTTCGAAATAGACGGAGTCCTTTCGGCTTGGTATGTCATTGCGGTCCTGTTCGGCACAGGGCCATTAAGGACGTGACTTTCTACTCAGACCCTGCTCAGTATGTGCCTCAAGATACGCATAATGACAAGCTGGTGAAGTAAACCGTCGGTCGGTGGTGATCGGTTGCTGAACCGCTTAACTCTAGGAACTGGACTTTGCGTCAATTCAGCGGAGGTTCTATTGGTGCCTTGCTATTTTTCTTTCACGTTACCTTTTCAGGAGCGCTTACGACTGCAGATTCAATATGCCGAGGAGGGTGCATGCAGGGCAGGTTCTTGTGTCTCGTTAACGTTTCCTTGCGACTCCCATCGCCATTACGATTACCCGGCAATGACCGCGTCCCAGATTGAGCTTTCGAGCTCAAGGTCGGTCTCCCAGCGCCCTGAGGCCGGGGTTATTTATCAGCCAGTACTAAAAGGTGCTACTTGAAAACCGACCAGATGTGCCCCTGTAATGCTTTGAAGCGGATGTTGCTCATGATCAAGCGTTACACAGTAACCCCGAAGCTGCTTACTGCCGTCAAGAGAACCGTTGCGGATGGAGGCGAGGAAGCTCACCTACACCGTTTCGACCATGAGTTCGAGCTTGACTGCCGTCAAGCTCCGCTTGCGATGTCAGCCTTTCCCATCCAATACAAGATTGCCGCTCCGATCTTTTTGTCTTCTTCTGCTTTATTGCCCGTCACAAATACTGTCGGAGTGCGAGGGGTAGTGCATTTCGATACAAACCGAAACAAGGAGGTTCAAGGCATCAAAACTTCATGTCTCTCTCACCGGCAGGCCGTGTCTCAGCATATGCTAGATAATGTTGTTTTGCCATCAATCGCAAAGCAAATTAATGCATTGAATGCAGAAACGCAGGGCGGTTAACCAAACCGTCGGAGTTGGTATTGCTTAAACGCCAACTTTGACTATCACAGATTTTTGCAGGAATACCTTGCTACCTAGTCTGAGAATGACATGATTTTCTAAAAGCGTCTGGTATCCCGTAGCAGACACCAGGCTATGGCAATGAAGGTGCCCACAAGCTAGAGGTCACTCAAGATCATACGGTGGCTCTGATGCCGTTAGCTGATCATCGAACAAGGTCGAACCTGCAAGCATTGGAACCTATGTCTCGTCTCTAACGCAGTTTCTTATGTTCTTACGGTCCAGAAAAGCGGGCTGCTTACGTTTTGCCATAGAATCAGCCTGTGAAATCTCCTGATGATACTGGCTAGATGGTTACGAGAGTGTTTTGTGCGCATGGGCCTTGCCGTGTAGAGCGCCCTTCCTTGCAGGCTGTCTGTTGCAAAAGTTGGCACGCATTTGGTTGCCCCCATGCTTTTATGGGCAGGAAAAAGTTTCTGAGAAAATGGGGCTGAAACGTTCCTATGAAACCTTGGGACGAAACGCTGCGGTAATCGCTTTGGCAACCGTGCTCCGACTTGCCAATTCTGTCGGTTCACAGCATCAGCCACTTTCGCAGGAGCATTACGTCAATTGTTCTTTTTGAGAGACTTTTGAGACCTGCCAGCGCTGTGTATGCCTCCCTGTCGTCTCCTCAGAATTCGAAGTCTTTCTGACAAGAATTATGCCCGCCTGGGTTCTCTCTCACGTTCAAACTGGCCACGACATGCGGTGAAGGCCTTGAGTGCCAAGATTTCCTTCTAAGTTGCAGGTTGCCAAGTTCTTTCTGTTTTGCATCTAAAGCTTGCCGTTGTGCAACAAACATCCCGACTTCGTGATCTTTTGGCCTTGTTCAATCACGGTCCTAAACTCAATCGCGTTTTTGGCAATGATGAGAATGGGCCAATTACGCTCATGCTTGGAGACGTCTTCAACAAGCCGACCGTTCTGATTCCCCCGGATAATTATTCCTGGGAAGCCTTTATGGGGCTCGCGAGTACAATTTCGCGGCAGAGCAGCAGTACCTGGCACACTCTCGGACTGTTTGTAACAGAGATGCCCGTAACAAAAGATAACGATCTGGTGAAATCTTCGGATGGATGTTTTCAACGATGTGAAAGAAATTCCGTCGATTTTGCAGGTTGAACGTGCGCTCGAGAGCATGGAGTCTGCGGCGGCGCAGCTGTACCAGGAGGAGAAGCCGACCGTTCTGATGGACGATGCAGCGGCCACTAGGGACAGAATGTAAGTCTACGAACAGCGTCGCTATCACTTTGCCTTTCCGTTCTAAGACCTCTTTGTTTGCCTTTGCATTTGCGTCTGCTGCTGCTTGACCGTCCAACAGCGGCCGTTTCTGGCAGTCCGTCAGAGGTTACAGACTCGCTTGTTGCAGGGTGAATGCACAATCTGCTCATGACGAGCATTCTTATCGCCGTTTTTTGTTGATCGGAACCAACGGAGCAGGTAGTGCTTGCTGAAGAGATGCCAAAACGCAGTGAGTCAAAAACGAATTATTAAAAAGGACTCTGCTTGAACGAGAATTTGGTAGACCGTTTCTCTGTTTGGTCCTGACACCAGAGCGATGCTCAGGCCGTACTGGCTTGCTATGAATCTTTTTCGATTCCACAATTGTTCCAGTCTGAATTCGTTCTGGTTCGAATCGGTCCGTTTTGGGTGCGTTTTGCGCTGATGCAAATCTCATTTTATGCGGAAGACTGTTCTTCTTGGAAAAAGCTCGCGCTGACTCCTTCCGTTGCGAACCATCCTGAGCTACACCCATTCTGATTCGAAATCTTTCCCTCCTGAAGCTGGTTCCAAACCGGGTTCCGTTCCGTGCTGCTTCCGTTCCGTCCGGATCTCTCTTCCATGCTGGATCCGTTTGCGCCAACGGCGCTTTCTGCTCGGTCGTCTGTGCTGACCCAGGTTTCACCAAGTTGGTCCCTGCCTAAGGCGTCTCAAGTTAGAGCCGACCTCGCCCCGTTTCAGTGGAGATCCGTGCTCATTCCGCTCCGTTTCCGTATTCCGATGGTGGTTTTCAGGTACGAGCAAGCGGAGATTCTCCAACAGGAGCTGGACCGGATGGGGGAGGACGTCCGCGAGACCATCAACAACCTTAACGCAGCACAGGTACGTCCGAAGATTAGTTCACTTTTAGGTTGAAATAGAGTCGATTTCCAGGGGACGGTGGGGTTAAATTGTGAGGTTACAAGGAGGTTATACTCGGGGGTTGCGGTGAGATCAGTCGCCGAAGGACGGGTGAGGTTAGTCTGGGGGTTAGGGTGGCTCCCGGTGCAAAGCTCGTGAATTTGTCTCTAGCGTCTAGTTTGGTGCCTTCTCCAGGTTGTCAATGTTAGCTCAACCTGGCTCAAATTCAACTTGAAATTGAGACGTATCATTTGCTGAGGTGTGCGTCAACTTCTTTGGACAAAGTGAGCGCTTTCAATCACAGAACCTTTTGGCTTGTTGTCCTGGAGTGTCCGATTGTGGTGGAGGATTGGGGGTCATTTTAGCGGAGGCATCAACGGACGGATGGATTCCCCCTTGAACGACGCGCTCTGCAGTTTTTGTCAACTTTTGCCTCTTGATCGGTTGCTAGAAAGCAGGTTGATACCGACAACCGAAGCAAAGAAGAACGGAATGCTGGCCTGGGCGTGGGACTGTTCCTAAGGACAACAAGGACCCTTGATTTACGGGGAGTTCCAATCAAGTTTATAGATAACGAGGAAAAGGAGGGACACACCTGTACATTTCCGGTAGTTCGCACCTCGGCCTTTGATTCGCACTAATTCCCACCGCGCCTCCGCAGGTGGGCGACGGGGCTGCTGCGGCGGGTGGGAATGCGCTCGACGTGGTGGTTCGCATCTTGAACAACCAGCTCAGCTCGCTCGTGTGGATCGACGAAAAGGTGAGCCAATTATTGGCAATCAAATCTGCAACATCTCTGGCAACATTTTGTAACTGTATGGTCTATCTTCGTCCACAGCGTTCTACTCAAGCTTCGAGTCTGATACCCACATGATTGTGGGCTTAAATCAGGGTTAACCAGCAATAGGAAAAGCGGGCGTTGGGGCAGTTTGGTTGGAATCCCTCCAATCGGGGTTATGCTTGACGTAGTGTTGCTTCGTCGAGCAAGAGTGCCCACTTCTAGTTAGCCCAACACATACATCGTGCCCAAAACAAGTCTGTTACAATGCGTTTGCGGCTTTGCTTTATATCAGAGTTGCCACGATGAAGCAAATGTGCAAAGTCATAGCTCCTTTTATTGAAATGCAAGGACGGCGTCTTGGGCAATCATGTCTCGGCTTTGCTCCAACAACGTTCGGAAGACGCTTTCTGATACATCTGGCTCCCATGTGTACGTTGTTGACTTTGTTGGCTGTTCTGGTTCAACAGAAAATTCGTGTTTGAGAATTGACGACATTTCGGAGATGTCCTTGTGCAGGCGCAAACGTTATCAACACGGATTGAGCAATTAGCGGAGCAAGGTGCGAGCGCTAACGGCCGGTTTGACGGTAGCCAGTACTAGAGGGTCTTCGGGGTCTGAATGCAAGCGTTGGTCGATTGAAACTTCTGTCGAAGTGAAGATTGCTTGTCTATTATACTACAACGCACGAGATTGCTGTACAAGGACTCTTGAGTAAGTGAGTCCGTTACTTGCATTAACTGAGTGGCCCAGTGGGGTCTACGATCATTGAATCAGGTTTGCTTACTCGTCGGATGCACGAGACAATCTCAACGATACAAGCTTCTTTGTCCGCATGAGGTCGGATGCCGCGGGCCTGACGTGACCCGGGTTCACAATGTACATCGAATATTGCGCCACTATGATCCCGGTCCATTCTGAGCTACACGCATCTGTTTGTTTGTGAAACGTGTGCTTCTGCTTAAAGGTGTTCATTAATGATATCAGCCGTTGCATGCGCATAATATGAAGTTATCAGTCTGTATTCAGAAGCACGTCCGTTTGGGTACCGTCGCGTCCCAGTCCATGTACGTATAAGTTGGTACGGTTTCGATCGCATGAATGTTCCGAAGTGTTCCGAAGTTCGCTGAACATATGCACTATAACAAATTTCGAACTTAATTATGTTGCATGCTTGCAATAGAGTCATGCAGTGCATGGTACCGCAGATTGTACCCGGCGTTGTGGACGTATGAGTCCGAGATCGGCATGGCGGTACGGTGGCCGGCCGGGCCGGGCCGCCTCACTTTACTATGACGGCATCGGCTAAAACACGACGGTCATGTGGTCCCAGCTGACCGTCGCATGCATGCCAGCCGCCTGCATGATGGACGCGAGGGCCGCCGGTACAGGTACGCTCACCCCAGCGCCCATGCTCAGGCTGCCATGCCACGCGGCAAATAGATCACCCTTCAATGCATCTGAAATGCATAATTGTTAAGTTCACTGTCCTTGCATGAATATACCGAGTCGCATTAAGATGATACATGTGCCATGCACCAGGCATAATGAAACGAAGTACGTCACTATCAATATGAGCATGGCGTGTCACTGTCAATGCTATCGTAGCAAGTCGTCTTGACGAAAGCTAGTGTTCGGAACTGCACTGAGTGTTTCCGATGTTCGGATCAGTGGCTCGGTCACTTGATCATAATTTTTTCAGCTTGACGGTCAGCATGAAAACAGCTGCCCATATAGCTAGGGTACCAGGGTGCTTTTCAAGTTTCAATCTGACCATGCGCTGCAGGCCCGGCAAATTCGATAAAGCCTCTGCTTACGCTCTACTACTCTTCAATCCCTCAATCATGACCGTTCGGCT